CAAATAATGCCACAGCTCACAACAGCTGAGAACAGAAACGAAAACAACAAGTTCCACAATAACAGATTGCGCATTTTCCATTAAAACAAAAGGAGTAAAAACATCACCGGAAGTGTAACCTGCGTCCGCATTTTGCCAAATTGCCTGCCGCGAGAAACGCTTTCCCTCGACATTGTCTGGTTCTCCAACACAGTTATTTTAGCAAATGGCGTTAACTGGTCGAGCGAAAAAGCCCTAGAAGGTCATTTCCATATTAACAGCTGTCAATAGATGGCCGTACAGTGGCTTAGATCCATTCGGTTTTGTTTTAGGGACGAATTAGTTGAAGACTGCAAATAAACGGAAATATGCTATTCCATCTCTAATGCACTTTCGTCAAAATATTTCAGTTAATAATTGTTGACCGTTCTGTGCTCACTGTATGGGGATGCTAATTGGACCCTAGCGCATGTTAGATGATTTATTCCCAGCCAAACCGGAATACGGTACCGAAATAAGAGAGACTCTTTAACTTGGAACATCGGCTAAGGGGCACCTGTATGATGCTGCAGCCCACCAGATAGACCACCAATAATATCCGCACCACGCAGCACGTTTGAACTATTTCAAGTCAATGTTCAAGTTATTTCGAGCAGACGATTAATAATAAAACAAAGTATAATATGTAGCGCTTTTTATAGTTTTGCATTTTTAGGAGAGCTTAATCGGAGCGTCATATCAAAGTGCACTTTGTAAAAGCTCGAAGTTTTTTAAAATTTCCAAAAAATATTTATAGCGTAAGCTTATGGTATCCTGTGTGATTGCGCCGAATGCATCGATTTAAATGATGATAGCAGTACCTACAAATAACATACATTTAGCACTGGAATACCCTAGAGAGTATACAGCTTCTGATTTGTTCTACCTATGAAATACGATTTATGGACGATTATCAGAGCTCCACTGTATCTTAATTGGTTTAGAAGGAACTTTGAATTTAAGGCGCACTAAATTTACTGCAGCTGCAATGAATATCTTGGCCATCGAAGAGTAATCTGATTCCACAATCTAGACATTTTCACGGAAGTCAGGATAATACAAATTTATTGACGCGAGCTGTTTGTGTAGTCAAAAACAGAACTTAGGCTGAGTTGGCCATACGCCGTCCCAATAATTATAACTTTCACCCAGCTAATAAAAAGGGTGTCTATATTAGGCTGGGCAAGCAAGTCGATCCAAGTGTGAATAAATTCCCGGCGCACGGTGAGCCTCATAGCTAAATGGTAGAGCGTTGGCTGCGTACAAGCCTTCCCTTCTGTGTGGATTCGACTCCCACCTAGGCCGGGAATTTGTCAAAATCGGGTCAGTCGAATTAAGATTACAGGATACACGCAGAATACGTACTAGCTAAATGCCCAGACCTGTGCTTTGACTATAGCTTGCAGCTGCTTGATACAGCTATGAGGGTTTCAGCTCATTATAAGATAATTTTGGTATCCCTTTGTCCGAAAATACTACGCTTAGGTTTCTAAAAATCGCATCCTTCCACCTCAAAAGCGAGCATTTACATGAAACCAATCAAACATCAGTTTTGAATAAGAACCTCGATCACAGTTTTGTTAACAGTTTTCAAATCACGCTACTATAATGGCAGTCCGAGTTTATGCAATTTGAACGATAGCAGTAACCATCCAAATAGTAATAAGAGAAGGACATAGCTGACTTTGACACTGGCCATACTGCAGTAAAGGAGAAAAGCGAAGGAGCTTTCGGCAATTAGCAGTCGGGTTCCGAGTTACGGAATAGGACAAGAGGCCGAAACATTTGGCAGTTAATGTCGGCCTAAAAATGTCACCCACAGTTCAGTTTTCCAATCAGTTTCTTGACAGTCAAGGATTGGCGGCATACTGTAGCAGCTAACAATCTTTCTTACTGCTCAATTCTTATTTAAAATCTGAACACATAACTTTCGGTTAAAATCCATGGTGTATGCTTTGGGCTGAGTCATGTGGTTTCTTAATGTGCGACCTCGTACCTAAACGATCTGTCAGATAGCGTAGGTGGCCTATGTAAAAAATAGGGCAAACACACTAAGCAGCCCTTTACAGTTATCGTCATCACGCCGGGAGCTATGCACTTTAGTGATGTACTGTTGCTAAGAAGGAACTCCAAAATAAATAAAATAGGTACAGAAGATATCCCTTC